TTATTGGCTGAGCAGCACGGCCGGTAAATTACCTGCTTCTAACATTGATGCTACGCTTTACACTCATCTCTTCTGCGGATATGGAGAAATCGACSCCACAARWCATGAAGTGACGATTCCTTCAACAGAAGTGAGTCACTTCTCCGAAAAAGTGAAAGTGAGCAATCCTAGTGTAAAGACTCTGCTGTCCATTAGAGGAGACAGCAAAGTTTTCTCAGACATTGCAAAAGTACCCACAGCACGAGACACGTTCGTCAATTCCTCGATCAAGGCGGCTGTTGATTGTGGGTTTGACGGCCTGGATTTACAGTGGYTGTACCCATCTTCTCYGACTGATATGCAAAATTTTAAAAYCCTGATTGTGAAGTGGCGGCAGGCGGCTGTGGACGACGCTAGAAACAACAACCGACCGGAGCGRATCCTGGTGGCTTCSGTGCCGAACCTACCATACATTGAGAAGAATGTTGAGTACCCAGGTGAAGCAATCAAACAAAACCTCGACTGGGTGAACCTTGTTTGTTACGACTTTTACACCCCAGCCGAAGGTTCRTCCCCCGATTACACTGGACCATCTTCCGCACTCTTCAACCGCARGTCCAACTCCTTGTCYGCACRCTTCGGGATCGAATCCTGGACAAAATACGTTCCTSCCAAGAAGATCGTGTTCGGAATCCCTTTCCACGGCTGGGCATGGACACTCGCCAATGCTSYCGAGCACGACGTGTTTTCGAAGGCGACTGGCCYAGCTGCGTCTGGCCAAATGGACTAYTCTGAGGTGAAAAAGTTCATAGACGCSCACGCCAGTGTGAGTAWRAACATCCCCAATGACCCCAGATTTGGGATTGCCTACGCCTATGCYGAAACCACCTGGATTGCGTACGAAAGTGAATCCACCATTCCTGTGAAAATTAAATTCGCAAAGCAAAACCAGCTGCTGGGTTACTTTGCTTGGAACATCTCTGGCGACGACGACGTCAACACTCTTGCTAACGCTGCCCAATCCAATTGGCAGTGATMAATTGCATGCTGCTGCTGCTTTGGTTTCCAAACCTTAATTTTCTAATAAAATAAATGCATGCTCCTCTCCACGTGTGTGTCTGTGTGTCTTACTTTTGTTTTGTGTTCCTTCTCACTACTTTTATGTTGTCATCTTTCCTTTCATTTTCTCTCCTGGTGTGTATTTCCTATTATCCAATAATAAGGTTATCTTTGGTTTTCTTTCTGTTTCTCTAATTCTTTCTCCTCTCCTATTCTACATGTTCTTTTATATATTAGTCCAAATTGATGTGTTCTTTGTAAATCTTCAAATGAATCTTTGGATCATCTATTTTTACACTGTCCATATTCAGCGACTCTATAGACTGATCGTCTTTATGATACTTTCCGTCTAGCTTATGTAGTGGCCGCTCGCATCAATTATATTATCCAAGAAAGCCTTTCCTACTTGTTGACAAAGCAGAGAAACCTTCTTTGGTGCAACGCTGCTATTGAATCTCTCTTGTGGAACCTTTGGTTGGGAAAGAAATCATACTTTTGCGGAGAAATCCAAATCTCACATTCATCTATGGAAGGATATCAAGGTTATGGCATCATCTTGGTCTTCAACATCCCCTCTTTTCTTTTTAAGCCTCCTTTTGTACGTTCCTCACATACTTATCAAATTGTAGTATCTTTTTTCAAAAAATTGTGGGATGGAGACTTTTAATTTACCATTTTCTAAAAAAAAAAAACAAAATCAAAATCAAAAACAAAAACAAAACAAAAGCCTCGTGATGAAACATCTTAGTTGTCTCATCTCATCTAATGGCTTTTTCAAATTGCTGCTAACTTGTCACAAATGGCCTTGAATTTCTTCAAATATTCTTCTAGATTGAGAGAGATTACCTTCCCTTGAATTAACTACGCATCATTGAGATGGAGTTCATTTTCTTTCGTCATGGTCAACGACTATTTTTCCAATGATTTCCACACTCAACAGGCTATGTTTATATATTCTGAATGATGCTCAACACCTCTTATGTATTAGTGCCTATGAGCCAAGAGGTTAACAATCCATCGTTGCCTATCCAAACACTATACTGTGGATGGTCAGTTTTCAACTAAGATGTATCTATATTCCGTTATTGCTGTCCGTAATATATTCTTCTGGTGGCTGATTTTCGTAAAGGTGTTTCTCCACTCCCATAGTCCGAATGAGGGGCAAGACTTGAAATTTCCACAAGAAATAATTGTTAATTAGGTTCAACTTGATGGAAACTAGACTAGAACATCGATGAAAAAGTTGTATACATGGTGAGATTGATTTCTGATTTGGCTCAGGTACGGTGAATTTCAAGCTACAAATGATGATAATTTCTTTTGTGTAACCAAATCTCTGATACGATAAAAGAAATTCTCAATACGATCTAACTAAAATGATTCCACATGAAAGAGGATCGGACAATAGCCTTCGTCGACAATATTACAGTAAAATTGAAAGGAGAAGAGAAAATTGATGTTCTGTATTTTTGTACAAGATCAGATAAAAGAAATGGTTTGATAGTGGTTACCCGAAAAAGGCATAAAAGGGAAGGAATTTTAGGTCTAATAGCTACATTATGCACCAGCTCATCTATTCCTAAATTACAAGGATTTGAAGATGCATGGAATTTGGTTAGAGCGCAGCAACCGATTCATCAAAATTACTCCTCGGTCTTTGGGAGGATGGAAGGATCTTTGCATTTCTTTGGTCTCTAAAATCCCCTCAATTTTGTAATTACGATGTTTCCATTTCTCTCCATTCGAGAGCTTTTCTTTAAAGCCTCATTTCTGTTTATGTTTCTAATATACTCTAATGAATGATACATCTTTTCTGAAAAATGATATACGTATAGAATAATATAAATGTCAATAAAGTCAGTGCGTAAAAGTAAGGAAAAGATAACCTACGATGGGAAAGTTGGACGGCTGTCAATTTAAGAAAAAATAAAGTGATGGTTGTTGTCGAAGAAATTTCGGCTAATCAGTAAATGACACGTCACAAAATTAAAATCATATTTAGGACCAATGATAAAATTACACGTGTCCTAAATTAATTTAAAATCGACGAATCAAATTATGCCACATGTCTCTCCTATGGTTGTCTGATGAAATCAACTAATTGGATCAAAACCCATGAGAGATTGGGCTCAAGCACATGACCCATTAAGCTCATGACCCATATATGACCCACAAAGACTCTATAAATAGATGTGTCACCCCTCATTTGAGAAGGGGAGAAGATTCGAAAAGATCCTGAAGCATTGGAGATTAAGAGCATTCTGAGCAGTCATCTACAACCATTCAGAATGTGAAGCATCTAAAACTAAGAAGACTCGAAGAACTGAAGCGGTAGACTTAAAGACTACGAGACTTCAAGAATTCTGAATCTTCTCTTTGTCAAGCAATGGACTGAAGAACTTCACAAGCTACAAACCGAATAACTCATGAACCAACAAGTACTTCATCAAGCTGCAGATTTCATCAAGCGAGCCGAAGACTTCATCAAGCCACAAATTTCGCCAAGCATCAAGCTTCACAGTCGAAGACTCTAAAGATTCTTCAATACGTTAAAAGCTGAATGCGCAGACTCATTAATTCGAGAATAAGCTTACAAACCCTCGAATTAAAGTTCATATTTGAGAGAATTAATCAGAGGATCATAATTAGAGATTGTAACACTACATTTATTCAATACAAATACAAGTTCATTAATTTTAATTTTCTCTTATTGAATTTCTCGTCCAACAATGGTATCTTGTGAAATGGTGATAATATATCACAATAAGACTTAGACTTCAAGCATTTTGTGGGCAGTAACCAGATCTAGGTAGAAATCAAGCTTCAAAATTTCTCTCTTAGGAGGAGGATCCGAGTTGGCCTCGACAAAAGTAGGACGCTTTTGATGTGGTAGAGAGTGGAGTAATTTACAAATGAGGTTTAGATTTTCGTACAACCGCATCAGTTCCCATTTCAATTAAAAGGAAGTATTATTAGACCAAATTTTGCATACAACTCAAAAGTAAATCCATATCTTTCCTTTTTTTTTTAACAAAGTGACATAACATTCATTCAAATAGTACGTGAGAAACATATTATATGGAAAGGCAAAGTAAAAGCACTACAGTTCAAAGAGATGGTGGAAATATCATAATTACAAAGAAAGTCGATGTCATGGACTAAGAAGAGGCAGCTGTTTTTATGTCCTTCCATAGATTTTCCACTGGCCTAGAAATGTTTGTGAAGAGGCAGTTGTTTCTTTCTAGCCAAATATACCAAAGGATTGAGCAAAAACTATTACACCAAAGCACATTTCTTCTAGTGAATGGAGAAATATTAAATATTCCAAAATGAGACTATCTATGTGGCAGGATTAAAAATATCGAAGAACCATCCCCAAAAAGTAAATCCATATCGATTTAGTTTAGACCCCGCATAGAACCATATTACCAAAGTACATTATCACTCACTCATTGAGACTTTTCTTTTAAATTATATGTAGAGTGATAAGGTCTCTTGATTGCACTTGGGCTCCGGAGCCCTGAGCTCCCTATTATATTAATAAAGTTTTGTTATGAGAACATTAAAATGTCTGAGCACACATACACGTGCGCATTTGTTTGGAGAACTTATGAGTTCTTTGACTTGTAGGATGCTCAATTGCAAACTCAATTGCAAAGATTGATTGATTGAAATGTTTGTAGTAGAAATGTGCATCCAATACATATACGAGAGAATTCTTTTAGTGTATAAAACCTCGCACATTTGAAGAATTAGCCACTCACTCCCACAACATGGAGACTAGCTAGCTCTCTTTCACACACTCACACACCACACCATTCAAGAAAATTATTTAAGACGAACAACAAAATAAACTAATTAACAACACAACCATGTATATTATATTATGCTCTTTCCCATGCCCAGGAAGCAGTGTTGGCCAGAGTTGGATCTCCATCATCAGGTTCAGCATTCAAAGCATGCTAACCACGCAGCCCAGAGAAGTTGTTCTTAGCCTTGAAGATCTTGGATACTATGGGTCCTTCACCATTGTAAGCAATCCAAGTTACATCAAAATTGGCGTACTCAACCACCCAGTTCATACTCGAGTTTTTGATACAACATCCATGGCTGTCTACGAATTTCTTGACATTCAAGTAATCGACGCGACCGTCGCCCGAGATGTCGGGACCTTCGGCTGCTCCTTGAGTTGCTGAAAACACGCGGTTTGGTTTAGGATCCTTGAGTCTCCATGCCCACCCGTAGAAGGGAATACCAAGTACTATCTTTTCAGCTGCTAAACCACTTCCAATCAACTCTTTTATATCTATTCCAATCCAATCAGTTGTAACACAAACCAAACAATCAATATTCAACAATAATAATAAAGTCTAGTCAATATATATAATTAACTCTCACTTAATCCGTCAACTATCTATTATCTCAATTCAAAGATCCATTAGAAACAAAATTCAGAACAAAAATTTTAGTTTTGAGACCTCAGGAGCTAAATAAAAATCAAGTACAAATTAATTTGTTATAATTAAAACTTTTTTGCATGTGTTTAGCTACATTTTCTTAACAGTGATTTTCATCACAAATCTGTTTTTTTTTTTTTTTCCTACTACATCTAAAAGGAATTCTACCAATATCAACAAATTCTATGGAGAGTTTGAAAGTGATTCAAAACCCATCACACTTTGAATAATTAATCAAGTACTTTCAAAGTATTTTTTAAACAAAAAAAAGTGTTTTTAAATAAATTAAATTTTCTCAAGAGTGTGTTAGAATTTCTAATAATATGGCCACACATGTAAACATTTGATGTGTTCTTTTCCTATTTAATTAGACCAAGAGAAGTGATCTTGTGTAAGTTTGTTTAATGGAGTAATTACAAAAAGAAATGTATAGATACCATCAAATAATTTCTAATTTGATAAAGGGCCAAATTGGAAATATAAAAACCATGTAATCGACTCGTGTTTTCATTTTGATCGGTTACATAGGGGTTATGGTTCCCAAGTTAGATACACGTTTCACAATATTCTCTCTATCCCTTGAGATAGAAACGATTCTCTACTTCTTCTATTTAATAGAGAAGAGATTTGAGAATATAATAAGTTGAATTGTGGGTTATCTTAACTTGGAAGATCAAATCCCATAAATTTGCTTTCACTATGGATTCAGGTACGCTTCCACTCATTTTTATTTAACTCTCTTGAATCAACATGGGATATAGATCCTGAACCAATATCAACAAAATACCATAAAGTTATTTGAGAGTCATCCTGAACCAAGTACTTTCAATGAAAAACAAAAGGTGTTTTTAAATAGTCTGTTGGCTAAAAAGTTATGAGTTCGAATCTTCTAGCTCCACTTGCTGTTATAAGAATAATGTTTTTAAATCAATTACATTCTCTCAAGATTCTTATAACTTACAAAAAAGAACGCTAGTCTAAAATCACTTAAAAAGCTTTGCACCTACCTGTAGATGCACAGGGGATGACAGTGGCTGAATGGGAGAATGCTGAGGATGGTGCAGTTTCAGTGATGCAATTAGTGGGAGTGTAATAATCATAACAAATGAGATTAACCCAGTCCACGCTTTTCTGGATTGCATCAATTGGATACTGAAAATCATGTTTTTGATGCCTCAAGTTGGCGACTGTAGCAACAAGCAGAAGTTGTGGTGTGTTAAAATTTACAGCATCATTAGCAACAGCACCGTTCCACTCAGTAAGCAGATCTTTAAGGTCGTCCATTTCTTTCTGAGAAGAAGGGTACAGCCACTGTAGATCAAGGCCTCTTTTTGCTGCCTCAATGGAGAAATAGACGAAGGGGGCACGAGAATCGGAGTCGCAAAGCTCTCCGCTTTCTCGTGCTCGACTCGAATTGATAGCAGAGTTTTCAGGTTCAGATTACTTCTTTTCACCGTTGAAGAAAACTTCTTGAATGTGTCTTGATCCAGAAATGTGACTTGATATGATTGAGATTCGAAATCGACATAACCACGGAAGAGATGGGTGAAAAGTTTAGCATCAATTTTGGGACCCTCACCCTCCTTGTGGTGCACCCAATACCCAGCTTTAACATCATTCTGATTCATTAACACAAATAAGATAAAGAGGAAACAACTTGATGAAAATATTTTGGAGAAAAATATATATATGTTGGTTAGTGATGTTAGGTTTAACAAAAGTTTTTAATGTATAAATCATTCATTACCGATAAAAGTGTACATAAAAAGTATACATAGCTTAACGGTAATTGACATATTTCTTTAATAAAGAGGTTATGAGTTCGAATCCCCACCCCATCCTACCTATTGAACTAAAAAAAACAAGTATAAATCACCTATCATCACTTCATTAAAAATAACTCCCTTTTGTCTTTTATAGTTTAGGATCTAGGGTTGGAAAGAACAAATTTAAGCAAAAGTCTATAAGGGGGCAAGGAGTGACACAAAGCTCTATGTGAGTTCAGCGCTATCTCTTACCAAATTAAAAAATGACCAATACTTTTTGTCAAACAAAAAGAAAAAGAAAAAGACCTGTTCTTTTTTATTAGCTCTATATTTAAGTATGAACAGTTCTATTGTAAAAATAATCTATTTCATATTTTAGGCTGACATCATTCACCTTTTTCTTTTCCTTTTGTTTATCTTTTAGATTCTTTTGTTTCTAAAGTTTCCAATATATTTAATTATATACCTCTCTATTACCCAAGTTCTTGATTAGCTGTCAAAGTAAGGATGAATCAGCGGTAATTTGCATATACTCGAGAGGTTGTGAGTTCAAATTCCCTCTCTAACATGTTATACTAAAAAAAAAAAAGTTCATGATTAGCTAATTAGCTTATTATATTGACATAGAGGAAGACATCAAACCATCTATCTAACTTTAATTTTCCTTTTTAGCTATATTATAAATGCCAGAATATAAATAATAAAATTAGGGTTCGATCTAAGACAAGTTAAAAGTCTCAATTGGAAGGCTGGAAGCATAATTAAACACAAAAATATTTTTGGATGACTTTAAGAGACAAGCAACGTCCGTTGGACTATAAAAACAATTTTTTAAAAGTAGTTTACAAAATAAACAAATTTGGGTTGTGCTAAAAAAATAAATAAATAAATTTGGGAAATAAACTTATTTTAAAAAACATAGAAATAATTATTAAATTGGATGACTTTATGTCAATATGAGGATAACTCAACCTAATTGATATGTCCTCCTTCCTTCAAGTTTGGAGGTTCGATCCCCCATATCTTCAAATTGTTGTACAAACAAAATGGGACAGCTTTACCCTACTGTATAGTACCAGAGCATGAGATCTTGTGTTTGAACCCTTTATTACAAGTGATAGGGAGTGTTGAGATATCTATATATATGATTAAGATTAAATTTACCCTAACCAATCCACTTAACATTTTTGGTTTAGTAGTTTAATCATGTTTAATAACTTCTATTTAAAATAGTGGTATTTTGGCAATGATGTTGAAATAATTTTGAACCACAACCTAAAATCATTTTAGAATGATTCTTAGACATGAAAGGTGATTTTTGGTACGTAACCAAATAATCACTTAAAATAAATTGATTTTGAGATGAAACCATGAATATTGATACAGTATCATAGTCTAAAAGCTCAAACCAGAGCATCCTATTTAAAAAATGAGATCCAACCAAGATTAGTGAACTCAAAATAGCCACCATATTCTTGAGAGAGGGCATGTTAAAGATATAGGCTACTCCTTTCCTTACCAATTGGTTTTTGAGATAATATCTTTAAAGGTCTGTTTTAGAAACTTATTTACATAAATGTCTAAAGTTTCCCAATTTTACAGTTTTAGATTTCTCACGTAGGATTTTTTTAAATATCGATTTTACCCTTATTTATTATATACACTTTTATTATAGTTTTTTATTATTTTGAAATTTAAAATATTTAATTCTATAATTGTAATCATATTCCTTTAATTATTGTGGACCTCATATAAATTTTCAACACTAATCCCTTAATTCACTCCTTCAAAAAAGATTTTTTCCTATAATTTACCATTATTATTAATTAAAAAAAATATCCAATTTTGATCCAACAATATTTTTTCATATGATTCTTTCCGTGTGAAGTTCCCACACAATTGACCACTCCAGTTTGAAATTGTTTGATTAAATTACATTGGAGCCAACCACACTATCAACTCTAGGGGTTTCCTTTCACAAATCCATGATGGTCTCATAGGTAAATAAAATAGCTAGAATTATGTATAAGATATATACCACATATACAATATGTTCTAATATTTACAATATATGCTGCTTCAGTCGATATATTCTCATATATTCCCATATATACAATATACGGTTATAACATATATTCTACTTGTACTTTTGAAATCTACTATTATTCACACGATGTAATTAACATTATGTATATACGTCTTTTAAGTAAGATCTAATTTACATATCACATATTATTATAGAATATTAACAATTAAGTATTCATTTGTATATTTTTATGATATAACGTATATACYATGAAGACTTTTGAATTCAAATATTATTATGGATACGGTTAATATAATTTATATACCTATTAATATTGTTTTATAACTTACAAACTATGTATTATTCAAACTTATAAGAATAATTTGATATCAATGTCAATGATTTGTATTTCTATAAATATTATGGAAGTAAAGGTATACATTATAAATATATCTCCATATATCCCCATATATACCGATGACAAAGCGATGAAATCAAACTCACTATAAGGTATATCCATAGTTCACACCTACATTTTGCACTACTAAAATCTAGGTGCGTACAAAAATAGAGCGTTAAACTATACAAAATCATGAATCGAAAAAAAAAACCATTGAATATATATGTGTATGGAAGGGGTTTAAGAGTAAAAAAAAAACAATGAGTTTTCAACCTTGTTCAAATCTGAAATAAAAAAAAACTTGGAGGATATATTGGAATGAAAAATATGTCATGGTGAGACAAAACTACTTTCCAATCGGCGAGATGAAGGAGACGATGAACGGAGACGAAGGAGCGCAGACGGCGAATGGAGACGAAGGAGCGCAGACGAAAATCGAACGAGAGAGAAAGAATAGAGGATTGCTCCGATGATGAAGAATAATGGAGACGACGACCGGAGACGAAGAACGTTGATGAAGCAGGAGATGGAGGAACGCAGACGGTCGGAGACGAAGAAGAAAAGTCGGAGAGAAGGAGTGCAGACGGCCGGAACGGAGCAGTCTTCGAACAAGAGAGGAAGGAAAAATCGGAGAAGGAGGGGTTTTCAAATTTTTTCAATTATGGAAGATTTTGGGAATTTGGTTAGTATTTTGGGATTTGGTATTTTTTACTTTTGGAAAGTCTTAATTAGGCAAAATTTAAGGGATTTAAATGGTAACCTCCCAATTTACTAATTTTAGATTTTAAAAATTAATTAATATTGAAGCATAGATACAAAAGGGTATACTAGTAAATTGGGTGATGGGTACCATCTTTAAATTGAGTTGTTTTATAACAAAAGTGTAAATTTTATACCTTCAATCCTTTTGTGTAATTATGATCTCTAAATAGCCTATCAATGTACTAATCTCTTGGTTTTTAGATGAAATTCCATGAATATTGATATTGTATTAGAGCCCAACACGCTCAAACGAGCACATCTGGTCCAGAAAATAGGATCCGACCAAGATTTATAACCCCAAAAGAGTCAACATCTTGAGTGGACAATGTTAAGGCCTTCCTACGTTTTTGAAAGATAAGAGGCCTAACAAAAGTTTATAATGTACATTGGCTAGTTCTTTTATTGTCAATTGATTTTTGAGACATATCGAGATGAATAGCAATCTGTATTATAATTTTTGAAAAGGAAGCACCTCTATTAATGGGACTTTCATAAAGGTTTTTTTTTTTTAATTTTTTAATCGAAGAAACTTTATGAAAGTTGACTCTATTTTTTTACGTGGAAGTGGAGATTTGAATTCACGACCTTTTAGCTGAAGATATATATCTTAATCGGTTGAATTATTCTCAAGTTTTTTTTTTATAGCTTTTTATAGAATATAGTCAAGTTCTTAAAAATTAAATATAGATGTGTGTGTATCTCTTGATTAACACAAATCAAGAAATCTATATTTAATTGATCAATATTGAATAGATTTTTTTATTTTTTATTTTGTATCTAATATGTCTATCAACTTTAAATTTTATGTCTAATATGATGTACTTGATATATTCATTATTGTTTTTTGAATTCACAAATTTATATCATACACAAAATTGAATTTTGTGTCTAACAAGGCTCTACGCTTTCAATTTTATATTTTTTAATAAGTTTGTGACATTTTAAAAATGCATAATACATTGGGATATATTAATACAAAATTGAAAGTTTAGAAATTTATTATACAATTTGAAAAGTTTAGGAACTTATTAAAAAGTTGAGGAATTCATCAAAGGGTTCGGCTTCTTGTTATCTTCGATTTGTCTCCACCGCTCCACGGTCACATCGAAGATTTCATCAAAGAAAAATGTTATCCCCATCTCCGAACAATTGCCGCAATACCCTTTCGTGCAACGTTGTGGGTTCTATATTATGGTCAGTTTGGTTGGAAATGAACAATAGAACCTTTGTAGATGTCTCTAAGACACTTAGTCATCTTTCAACCTTTGTAGATGTCTCTAAGACATTTAGTCATCTTTCAGATGATATTATTATTCTAGCTTCATCTTGTCATCCAAATCCAAGTTTTTTTCTTCCATTTCTCTTAATTGGATTGTTTTTATTTAGCCTCCCCAATTTTGTATGTTTCTCAAATACCTAATGAAATGGTTCCGATATCTTTTCAGAAAAAAATTACACTCATTAAAGGTGGAAGGAATGTGAATAAGTTGATCAATTATATAATATATAGTTGGTGTGTGTACGTTATAGAATAAATCTAAAAATCTCTCCCCAAAAGTTAATGTGTGACTAGTTTAACCAATTATATTACTTCAAATTTATTTGAATAAATGATAACTTAAAAGGTAGAAGGAAATAAATTAAAATGAAATGTAAGACGAAATGTTTAAAGATTCTCAATATCTCTATAATAACTTCAAGAAATTTAAATAATGAAAGAACATAAATTTATTCTTATACATGCCACACAAAAACCTTCAAAAAAGTATCTCAATCTTTTTTTTTGGTTAAGAGACACTAATAAAAAAAATGCTATAGGAAAGCAATCCAATTAAGTGTATGGTAGAAATATTGTAATTATTAGGGGGTCTTGGAAGATCAATTAGATGTTGAAACTTTGACATCCTTCTAAAGATGAGTTAACGGAGAAATAGTGAAGAACATATAAAAATGAGACCATGTGAAAGCACTCTAATTTGGAAAAAGGTGGACTGAGGAGATGTTATAATTACAAAAATATAAAATATAAAATATAAAATAAAAGGTCGATTTAGACCATCAAGAAAAGGTAGCTATATTCTAATATCGTCCCAAACAGATTAAGAAAAATTATTCAGCAACTTCTAAATAATAATTCTTGTTTCTAACATTTAATTATAAGGTAGAGATTATAGATCAACACAAAGAATTAACCATAAGGAGGAAAGCACAATACACCAGAAATTAAAAAAATGTTTGGAAGAAATTTTGATACGACCAAATTAGTTTGTCGTTGGCCAAAATCACATCTAGTTAAAAGAGTACTATTTGAAAATAATATACAAATTAGTGATTTCGAAGAAAAGAATGCAAATGAAATCGTTTATCTTTCAAAAAAAAAAAGAAAAGAAAAGAAAAGAAAAGAAAGAAAGAAAGAAAGAAAACGACAAACTCAAAAAAAAAAAAAATAATACCCAAAAACAAATAAGGAAGCGAGCAATTAAAAACCTACCCTAATTCTCCATTAAGCACATACGAAAGGCTGTATGAATTATGTAGCTGAAATCAAATTTCTTAACATCAAGCAAACCCATGTTTCATTTAAACACTCAAAAACAAGTCTCTAATTTGCATGTAGCTAGCAGCTGCCCCAAGCAAGCTAGCTACGTTATTTATATTACATGACATAATTATATTAAACGACACAAAATCAAAAATCATACAGTTGGTTTTCATTACCAACAATACCCGATCCCCACCTATTCATGTCGACATTAAAATTTTGACCGCTACTAATCTTTTTTGAAAAAACAAAAAACAAAAAGTCTCATTTTTAGCTATCAAAATTTTAACGATGGCCAAGAAGAGACGGATGTTGACTGAATATTATTCTTCGATGATAGTCTCTCAATCCTCCTTCACTGGATCAGCTCTAGCAGTCCTCATATTAGGAAAGATCTGCAACAATTTCCCCCTCATATGATGGAAGATCTGCAACAATTTCCCCCTCGCCGCGACAAGGAACAATAATATGACAGCAACAAAAGCCCAAGTAAGCCGAAGCGGAACCCCGAACAGTGAAGAAGCGACCAAGGAAGGGGCGGTGCGATGTGTTGGAGGCCTCTGCGGGCTCCAAAAGTAGGTGCGGTTAAAAGAACAAGTTTTTAGAGTTACATCATCGGAGCAGTTCTGAAGAGGACCGTAAAGAGTTACAGCAGTCCCAGGTGAGACGCACAACACCACTTCAGTAATTTCTCCGAAGCTGCACCGAAAAGCTGGCTCCGTCACGGTACGGCTATAAATGGCACGTTGAAGTTGGCGGAGGTCAACTTTTTTAGTGAAACTGGTGGTTGGAGCAAGCGTGCCTAGAATTGCATACAGGTCATATTGCTGCTTAAGAGCCAAAGCGGCTGCGAAATATAGTGCTGGGGTAAGACCAGAGCAAGTTCCATGCTTGCTCCACTGTGTACTCCAAAATTGGAAGTTATTCCAACCTTTTTGGAAAGTTATCCACTCCCGATCTAGTCCTGCTGTTTCATTCGTAATCTGAGATAAACATAAATTCAAGTGAAAGAAGATAATAAAAAAAAGGTACTATACTCCGTCCTGATTACGATGGTAATATTTTTATTTCTTGTTTCTCATTTCTCGTTTATTACTTATCGTGAGAGATATCATTTCATTTAAGTGGGATGAGAGGAAACAAAAACAAAAAGAGGCTTTAGATAAAAGCTCTAATTGAGAAAAATAGTGGATATATCATAATTACAAAATAGTGGACATTTAGGAGATCAAGACGGTGCTAGTATTCTTGGAATCATCTCATAAGTGAGGGTGAGATCTAAAGAAGATCCAAAAAGATGCAATTCTTTTATCTTTGTTTCTCGCTTTCTCTTTTTTATTTAAAAAACAAAAAACAGCTTTGGTGGTATTTTGTTGGTTGTTCTTTCTTTGTTTAAGAAAAAAGAAACATGTTTGGACTCTAAAATTTTGGATTAAAAAGAAATAAAAGGTTTCTATATAAAATTTAATTTATTTCTTTTTCAAAATTTGTATGTTATATATTTATTTTGTGATTTCTATTATGTATCATAAAAGTAAATAAATAAAAAGAGAAAAAGATTTTACGTACCTTTTGGAAAAAATTAGAAACATAAACATAAAAAATAATAAACTTAAGTTTTGTTGTTTCTAAACTTTTTAGATAACTTTATGTTTCTAAAAAACTAGAAACAACCAACAAAGAAACTAGAAACGATAGCGTTACAAAATTGGGTGTGGAAATTATTACCTCTTCTAGGGTGAGCTGATGTGTTGTACAGTGAGTTACCAGGTCTCCATTGTCTAGACTGGGCCAGTAGCCATGTATTGTGAACCTGGTGGTGGCCTGAGCCAGGGCTGTGTTGCAGTCGTTTGGGAAGGTAGCGCAATAAGCCGGTGGCCACTGCTGCACCATTTGGAACATTTGGAAGTTGGCTCCCCCTCCTCCAAACACCATCATCATTATTATTACATTCAATAACACTATCAAAATTTCTCTGTTTCTCCCCATCATAGATCACCTCTCAAAAGAAATATTTTTCTTTCTTTTTCCTTCTATATATATTCTGCAGCTTGCTCAGCAGATGGGTCTAGAGCTGCCTTTTTATAGAGATGAGAGATGATCCAATATCCAGGTTTCATGTTAATAAATCATTATATTGACCTTCACTTGCAAGGATCAGACTAACTTTTTATTTTTAGAAGGTGAAGGACGACCAAATCAATAATAATAATAAAACTTAAAGAGTAGGGAGACCACTTATATTATTATTTGGGGAGACAACTATTAATATTGACTTGGTTCCATCTCGAAATCAATTGACGACGAAAGGAGTAGCCCACTTATATTATAAATCCTTGTTAGGTGTCTTGTCTTATCAATGTGGGATCCTTAAAAACAACGAATTCGGTCTCTACGCCTCTATGATTTCATAATGATATTGTCCACCTTGTTTATAAGCTCTCAGGGCTTTTAGGCCTCAATAAAGATAGTCTCATTGTTTATAATTTAGGACTCTTTTTTTTCTGTTTTTGTTTATCTTTTCTTTTTTTTTTTTAATAAAGAACATATAATAGAATGGTATGACTCCACACTTATGGATTCATAAGAATGGATAAAACTATATTCTTATTTTTATGTTTTACAACAAAATGAAACAAGGGTCCAAAAACAAGAAAGTTATGATTGATTTGGTAACGTTTCTATTTCTTATTTTTAATAAAGAAAAAATAGAATTTTATGTCCTAATACTCGTGAATTACTCAAACAATATTTATATTTATATTTATGTATTGTAACAAATTGGAAACAGAAACAAGAAGCATAATTAGTTGCAAAATGCTTAAATTTCTTAATAAAATTTGGAAATGAGAAATAAGAAACATGCACGTTATCGAACGGGCCCTTTATTGTTGTTGTTTTCTAAAATTTTTATACAACTTTGAGAATGTTTTTTTTATATATAAATATGAGAAACAAGAAACATAAATAGTTGTCAAATGCTTTGATTTTTTTAATAAAATTGAAAACGAAAAACAAGAAACAGGAACATTAGCAACGAACCCTTACATATATTCAGTGATGTCTTCTCCTTATCATTAGTAGTTGTATTCCGAACATTTAACCTTTCATGGATTAGCTAGCTAACTAGTACCTATCCTATTTGGCATATATTTTTATCATAATTTGGAGTCTCCTCATCCCGAAAAAATGCAAATTATTTCTTTGGTGCCTTCTCCACAGAGGTCTCAATACAGCAGATAAGATACAAGCTCGATTTCCATCAATGGTAAGCTTTCCAAATTGGTGTGTTCTATGCTATCAAAATGGCGAATCCTTAGATCACTTATTTCTTCATTGTCCATTCACAACTGCTCTTTGGCTTGGCTGCACATCCTAAATATTTTCCAGATACAAATTACTTTCCCCAGAACTATTGACAAATTTATTACCGAGCTTTTGTCAAAGCCTATCAAAAGCCAGCGCGATATCCTTTGGAGTAACGCCATTGGATCTCTAATGTGGAACCAATGGTTGGAACGAAACACCGCATTTTTCGGAGATTATTAGGTCTAAGGCTTTGCTTTGGGAGGACATCAATATAAATGTCTCATCTTGGTCCTCCAAATCAAATCTTTTTTGTAATTACTCTATAACTACCATTTCTTGTAACTGGACAGCCTTTTTTAGGCTCTTCTTTTTTGTATGTATGTTTCTCACATACCTCTTAATGGTGGTGCCACTTTCTCGAAAAAAAATCATAATTTATTACCGTTCATAATACATAAAAGGATCATTTTGACACATATTTGTCCTTAATTAATATGTTCTGAAATTGATATTAAAAATTGAATCTCTTCCCCTTAAATATTACAAACCCTAAAATCGATGGACAAGCTAATATTTCAAAACAAGGTTACAAAGGAAAATGCTTGGTGAAATATAAATTATTAGCATCTATTATTTCTCATAAATTATATCCATTTGCATCTATATTAAATAAGCATACGGAAGAAATAATCATGAATAAATCAATAATAATGTAGAGTCGTTGGTCATTTTCAAAAGAAATATTAAAATGAGTGTACATATTATAGTTGGGCATAATTAAAGAAATGAGTTGAACGTAAGAAAATATATAATAGGACAAAATTAGATAGGGAGATAGGACAAAACAAAGTTAGACAGAAATTATTAGCTTGGTGTGAAGGGGAAATTATTATTATCTAGGTAATTGCTCATCACTTCCCATTTAGAAAATTCAAACCATAGATTATATCTGTTTTCAAATGGGTAATAAAGAAGCATATACTTTAACTAAGTATTTTATCAAAAGAAAAAAAAACTTTTAACTAAGTATTAATACAAAAATAATAAGAATAAACTAATATAATGTGAAGTCAAAATTACTCCTTAGTCTTGGTCTTCAAAATTGACATTCTTTTGTAATTATAATATTTTCATCATTTCTGTGAACTAGAGCGGTTAACCTCCTTTATTGCATGTTTCTCATATCTTTTCTTAATCAACAGTGTGTTTTCCTTTAAAAAAAAAAAAAAGTTGGAGTCGTTGGTCAATTTTTATTTTAAAATGAGGTTGTGAAATAATAGTGTGTGATATATATTCATTGGAGAAGACTAAAGTAAAAAAAAAATACATAATATAATTGAGAATAATTAAAGAAATAATTGATGGAAGGGGCAGGAGCATATATTAGCTAGAATTTAGAGATTATATATAAAATAATAGATACCCATTTTTTCCTTTTCTTTCTTTAATTTTTTTAGTTTTTTTTTGGTTTTTTATTTTTCACAAAAATGTTATTTTCTCACCTACAACATTTTATTTAAATTAATTTTTCTTACAACAAATAATAATATAATTATCCTCTTCTTAGAAAACAAATCTTATTCTCTTCATTTATACCTATGTAAATCAATAGTTCAAAATATATATTTAATTTTGATTTCAAAATAAGAATATTAACTTTCTATGAACTTATTCATGTTTAAAATTAGGAAATATATATATTTAATTTACCGTTATCATATTAAAATTTTAAAAAATAATCTATTTTCAAATTATCTATATTCTAATTAAGGAATGTAAATTAAATTTTATTTTGAACCTATGAAATTAAATAATATTTAATTTTAAATTATCCACGCTAAATAAATTATTTGATTTTTAACTATATGCAAAGTAACAAAACGATTATCTTTGAAACAACTAATATTCAAATACAAGCTTACATTATACTTTACATTCCCGAAATTTAAAATTAAATAATTAAAATTAAACAAATTTCTATGTTTGATAAATAAAAAAAACTTTAGAAAATGAAGTTTACAAACATGCTTTCAAAAATAGTTTGATGATATTTTCCTTTAATGTAATTATCTAGGCCACTTTCTAATGACTCTTAAAACTTTTTTATCATTAAATATTTTGTTGAATCTATGATATCCATGTTAAATTTTGCTCCAAATTATTGTGAACAAATTGATTGAGTTTAAAATTTAATTTGGGTTGTGAAAAAAAAGTAAAGAAAAATATGTTTAGAAAATATATAAATTAAGAGATACAAATTTCAAAACAGATGGATTAATTGCCTGTTACAAAATTACTTACAAATTTAATCGGATCAAATCAATGGTTGAACATTTTGCTAAATAACCGAAAAAAAAAAAACACGTAAACAAATCAAACAATCCAAATCCAGGTTTCGGGAGGAATATTTTGTGGAGCAAAATGTAGTTGGTTCTATTCTATGACATATATGGTTCGAGCCTAATTGCAAGATATCTGCAGCCTCTTCAAAATCTTTCTCAAATGGTTGGGAGGATATAAAAATCTCTCCATCCACCTGGTCTTCAAAATCCTCTTTCTTTTTTTTTCTTTTTTTTGATTATGAGCCTTTTTTTTTTTATTTTATGTTTCTCATATACCTATTGTAGTATTAATTTCCAAAAAAAAAAAATCTAGGTTACCAAACCTTCAAACACGGACTACTTAAATCAAAGTTATAGGTGCAATCCTGCATCCCAAACATAGGCTCCCTAAATCCAAGCTACACAATATTCTAAGATCAACTTTTGAGGCTTCCTAGATTCAAGCTACAAATGTCGAACCAATGAACCAAATGCACACTTACAATTTTTGAACAGCTCTGCTTTCTGTTGAAGGTGCCAAATGAAAAGAGATTTTGGATTTGAATACTTTGTTTAAGAAAAAAATTTATTTATCTTTGAATATAAATTAGGGAGGATTAGAATATGGAGAGGTGAGAATCTCTCTCCCAAAAGAGGGGAAAAAAGCCACACCCTATTTCAATTTTTCTTGAATTAAGGGAGGAGGAAAAAAAAAAGAAAAAAAGGAAAAATAGACCCAACCCGACCGAGTATAAACTGAATAATTTCGGTCGATTCGGTTTTTTGTTTTGTCTGAAATCCGGTTCGACCCGACCAACTTACATCCCTGCCTAATACAATCATCGACCTGAATTAAGGTATGCTTATCTCCGACCTTATTAAAGATAGTCAACCAGTTTAATATCTTTACATATCTTATACATTGGCAGCTCATCGCCTCTTTCTTCCACATCTCAAGAAAGCATGTTATTCATTATATTAAACAAAATAAAATAAAAATAAAAACCCTTCACAAATCAGTCCTAATTGGTGCAGTTTTTATGTCAAAGCAGCTCTGAAATAGTTGATTCAGTTATTGCTCGGTTTCAGCTAGAATATGGTACTCTTATTTATGTCAACTTTGATCCCGATACCCCACTCCCTGGTCGAATTCAACAATTTTGCCCATTGCTCAAGATTGTACTAGAAATGTGTACAGTTCAATCCTCTTGAGTATTTCGAACAAGCGTAGAAAATTGATTTTTCAACGACAGCTAAAAATCAGTATGTCAACTTTGAGACAACATTAGAATTAGTGCCTCCTCTTAGTCATTCAATTTAAATATCTTTTGTAATGATGACATTTTGCATTGATCTCTTCAAATTCGGGTACTTTTATGTAACTTCTCTTTGTACTATCA